TTTATACCCGTGCATGAGCACGGGAAAATCACCTAGTAGTGTCAATATTTGTGCTGTTAGAAAACTGTGTAGTATATAGTATTATTTTACTTGGTGTAGAATGTTTGATATATTTTATATCCTTTAATATGGTTAACTAAAGCCTTTACAAGTTCCAACATGACAGCTTAGCTGAAATTTGTTTGCGGAAACTTGATGTAAAAAAGTTCCGTAAAAATGAAAATGAAATGATTCATATCTGATTTTTCATGGTTGTTAAGTCATAAAAAGTGAAACTTAAGTTTGTTCACTGATGTGCACAAAAAAAAGTTTGTTCACTGTTAAAGATGAAGAAAACAATACACTCAGGTGAAGTGAATCGGCTCGGAAGAAGGCGGATGAATCTGGACCGTATAGAAAAATGAAAAACCGAACCCATGTGGATAACTTTCGGTGACCGTGTCCGGTTTACGTCAACCGGACGTTTCACGTTCGATTCCCAAAGTATTTGAAGGAAGAACATTTTCCAGTTGCCATCAACTTGAACATAATATTCATTAATTTATCCAAAGATGGAGAGGTCATCGTAGTACGATAGAGATGCCGTAAAGAAACATGTAGCACGATCAGTGCCAACTTAAAATTAATCACGATAAATAGTTATTTTTTGCGTGTTTTTATGTATTTCAACTTGAAAGCTAAGTTTTTTTTAGAACCTCTGATTGACAAAAAAAAAAAAATCGGTTAAAAATACAAATATTTTGAACCAAGAGTTACTTTGCTTAGTTTGATTAAAAAAAAAAAAGAGTTACTTTGCTTAATTAATACGGATCCAACGTTGAAATCAGAACCCACGAGAGAAAATAGGGAACCAAACTAAACCTAACCAATCTTTGTAAATACGGTTAACATTAATTATATACTAATGGAATTGTACATTTTAGGCAAAGTTACATTTTAGCAGAAGTAACAAATTATCAGTAAGTCAAACATATATAATCATGTAGTTATAAATTACACACAAAAATATATTAAAATCTGCACAGGGAATTTTATTATTCAGAATCAGTGCTTCCTCGATTACGATGGTGTGGTTTGGAGGTAGAGCCAAGCTCGACGTCGTTGTCCAACATGTCTCGAGAACCGCTCTGAGTCATCGTTGTGTCACAACCACTCCTCTCAGCCAACATTCTAAAATACGCATGTGGTGCCCATCCTGTTAAATTTTTATAAAATAATTAATCGTTAACCTAAATTCACGTAACCAGGGACATGATCATAAACCGTTTATTACCATTGTCGTCATATGGATAAGGAAAAAAGTGGAGGTAAGATAATGAAGCGAAAAATATTCCGATGATCGCACCGGCGAAGACGTCGGTCCAGTGGTGCCAATAGTCGTCGACGCGTGATATTCCGATGAGAATTGCGACTAGTATCGGTAAGAACACGAGGCATAGTTTTGCCACATGTCCCCTTCTGTCAAAAACTTTGATTTTTCCCGACAAGTACCATGCAAGGAAAGTTAAACCGGCGAAAGACCCTGCATTTTTACCGTAATTAACCGGTTTAGTGAAACCGGAACCAAATCATGTTTTTGTAACATTTGATGTTTTTAGAAGACTTACACGAAGTGTGACCGCTAGGAAAACTCTTGTAACCTTCTTTGATGATCTTTTTAATCCCATGGCACACTACATCCTTAGTAACCGAATCGAATTTCTGCATTTCTCATTTTTTTTATTATAAGAAAAAAAACTTCATGTTATTAGAGCTTATACAAGAAGCCCTAGTGATTCTTATTTGTTCAAGAGATCAACTTTTATTCTTGGTGTCCTAGTTAAGCTTTTATCTTCCTTTATTTTCTTGCACACTATGAAGCTCCTCACTAACTCAAAGATTACATCTCTTGATCACATATCAATCCTATGTATACTAGTTGATTTGCAAAGACGCTCTAACGCACATGAACACTGTATTAAATTTTATGTTACTTATGAGACAAGGGCTTCTTGTCTAGGCTCTAACAAATTATCTTTCATGTCTAAACTAAGAAGTAATAGATTGGTAGAGATGTTTCATACCGGTTTACCATCGGGAAAACATCTGTGGAAGAAGTTAGGTCTTGGTCTACCGACCGCGTTTTTTATGGAATCAGTGGTGACTCCAGTTACAAGACATGAGAATCCGATACCTATACACAACATACAAATACTAGTAAATCACGAAGCATATATTTGAGCATGATCAGTAGTAGAAATTACCGAGAATGGCGTGATGAAGATCATAAACATCTTTTCGAAAGTAATAGTACACTGTGAAGATGCATATAGGAACCAATATACAAATAATCTACACAAACACCACACATATAATCAGAAATATTGGTAATGCTTTCTTGTGATGAGACGCATAGTGAGATTATTTATTGTGAAACAAGTATACTTACCGGGACAGCCCAAATAGGGATGGTGTCTTGAAACAATGGGAAAGTTAGATCGGTCAACATGTCTGGCCCAATGTAGCGATGAAAAGGCTCCATAATGTTGAGGACAATGATGACGATACCGAGGAGGACGAGGATGATCCAGTCACTTAGATGTTCTCGAGCCACTTTGCATCCATGGCTCTTTATCGTGTGAGATCCAAGCATTATCTTAGCCATCTCTCAGGCTTATTGTATTAACCTAAAAACAGCAGTTTCATTGTAACATTTATATAAACAATCTGTATCTTCTTGTTTTTTTTTCTGGAATTAGATTTTAATTTTGTTATGCAAAAAGCTCTCCGATGGAAACTAGACTACGATTTTGTTTCTTATTTTTGTTCATATCATCGACCAACGCAATAACGGAACTACTTATAAACAAATTAATAAATCATTTATTTCGGGATTAATCAAGGATGATTCACAACATATAATCTGGATTCATCATGCATGCATACATAAATGAATAAACAATTAAACATGAAACAGAAAGATACCTGGTAAAATGCGAGATCAATCGATCGCGATCGAGGTTCAAAGCCCTAATTAATCTTTCTATTACGGTTACAATTGCAATTTACAAACGAATCAATGAAACAATAACTTCTGAAGCCGTGAAGGTGATAAATATGTATATTGCAAAATTAAAGTTTTTCGGGACGGTTATGTTAATTTGATTTTTTTTTTCTTGTCGTTTTTCTCTAGCCGTTGGATGTGGATTTAAAACCAAAATAACTAAATATTATTACAAAAGAGCATAACTAATGAAGATTTTTATATGTTAGCAAAGTAGTGGTGGCTATATAGGAGAGTATGAGGTTAAACTTATGTTTAGGCTTCAAATTTGTTTTGGTACAAAGCAATGTTTTATAGCAGATGAGCGTATAGGTAAATTATTCAAAGTCTAGAAAAAGTTTAGGCATTAGTAAATTATTCGTTTCCTTGTTATATATTTTATATATGTATTAGGTAATTGTAATTTTTGCATTTAATTAAATATAGTTTTGATACAAAAAAAATATACAAAAAATAAATAAACAAACTTGTGAACTCGTACCATAAAACAAAGCTTGTGCACTCTATACTTTTGTCAACACCATTATATCTTCTTCTCTATCACATATATATAGTCACATTTATCTATGCATAATAGTTGGATTATACTTCCATGGGTCCATGCATCTCACATTACCTTTTTCCTACTAAAAGCATCTCATATTTGCTTAGGTTGGGTGTTTTTAATTAGTGAGCACTTCGTTTCTTGCCACTACTTAAACGCAGTTCGTTGTTCTAATTTCGATATATTATATTGGGCCGGGGCATGCCAATTAGCAAACCGTTGAAGAGTTTGTCATGTCATGTGTTCACTATTTTGATTTTTTTTTTATTTTTATTTTCGTTTGCTTTTTAAAAAAAAAAGCAAAATAATCTAGCTAATTGCGGACCGTCGGGAGGCCAGTACAGTGATGAACCAGGCTCATCCAGCTAGTCTGCAAGAGGCAGATTCACCGAAATCATCTTCTTCTTTTTTTGAAAAAAGTGTGAATCTCTCCCATGAATCTTTTATGCAGATGATCTTAACATAGGTCAAAACATGCAACACTTGAAAGCACATACATACCAACTTGCATTGTGGTATTTCTTATAGCCATCTTTTCTAATGCCTTTCTTTTGATTAATTTGACAGGGATTGCAATAAGTTCCAGTGCCACGAAAATTACATAGACTACACAAGCGTTTGCGTTTTCACATGGTAATCTTCTAATCATCATTGTTACATGAAAACGCAAAACAAACAAAACAATCTCAATCGCAGCCAAAGTAATTCCATCCATCTCAAAAACATTCCGCAAATATATAACTCTTGAACCTCAACGAACAACCAAAACACAACAAAAGAATCAGAGAAGAATCTACAGAGCATGAACCGCTGACACGATTTCACCATCCATCGACTCAGCAGTTTCTCTAAACGACTGGCTATGTAGACGCCTAGTAAAAGAAGTGGTCGTGTCCAAGAAATACAAAATCGAAGACATCATGCAACAGCACACAAACATAGGAATAGGACCAAAGTTCCATAAGAAGAGAGGGAAGGAGAAGTAGAAAGCTCTCAACCCAAGAAACCAGAAGTAGAGAGCTCGGTTAAGGTTCCTAGCCACGTACTCGCAGTGCTCTTTCTTCCCTATCGAGACAGGCACTGTCACCAGGAAACTAACGTGAGCGTAGTACCTTATTGACTGGACGTTAAAGAGAAAGGCCATGAGGAAACAAATGAGGATTGCGAAGTTCTTGATGGATGCAAGGAGAGGGCTTTTGTTGCCGTAGATAATAGGTGATGCTGTGGATTCAGAAGCGGATGAGTTGCTTACAAAGACGCCGATGATGGAACAGAGAGTGATTGCTGTTGTGGCTAAAAGGGTTGATGCCATTATGTTGTTTCTGATTGTCTGTACTGCCAATACTCCATTTTTCAACGGCTCCTGCACATATGACAATGAGAAAATTGAATCTAAATGGAAAGCTCAACTAAACGGAACTAACAAATCACTTTGTGCTTGCTTGTGTCTCCTATGCCTAGGGTTCTCTAGTGAAAGCCATTGTTTAGTTCCAAGGTAAAAGCCATTTAAAAAGCTCAACGAAGTAGGAAAGAGTGGAACTTTCAGAGAAGATAGTTCACCGTCTAATCTAAAGTTGATTCTATTTGTACTTATGAACTTTCAGATCAGATCTTCGCATCACTTGACAGGTAGAAGTAATTAACTTAAAGTTCAAAAAATTAAAAGTGTTTAACTTTCCTGATCTCATAATCATTACTCATAAGTCATAAACCCTTTTCAGTTTTGTTATGTTTAAAGCTGGTCCAAAGTATGGTTTCACAGTTCTCAATCGAAAACTACAGAGATGGAGAGCGTCACTGACTAGTATTATATCTAAAGAGGAAAAGGAGAAGAGAGAAAACGTACGTCCATCATAGAGAAGACCCATAGTCGTCGAGCTTCAGCATTGAGGGAGATAACAGTGAGCTTCGGACGGTGGGTTATGGCGTAGCCTAGCCACACATGGTAGGCCACCATCACGACGAGACCCGCCGGCACTAGTACTAAATCCAACGATTCCTCCTTCCACATTCCTACTCCGACCGCCGCAGAGATACTCGAGATTTTATATGTTTCCGATGAGACAAGGATCGATGGTCAAAATATTTTGGCAGAGACAAACAAGAGAGAGAGACGAGGGAAGCCAGCGCAGAAAGAGACAAAAACACGAAGCTGGAAAGGGACAGTTTCACATGTCTCGCACGTGTTGACACTAGCAAACAGCCTCCAAGGTCAATGGGGGAGCTTCATCTCTCCTCTCTCATTCCTAGGTAATCAAATAAGTACAACATTTCTGGTTTGGTCCTAGGACATCTTTTCCGCTTTAACACAAAATTAGGCCCAAAGCTAAATTTATTAGGCTTTAAGTTGGACCCATAAACATGTGGAAGAGAAATCCTAGAAAAGGTAACTTGGGAACAATTTTAAATTTAGGGAAAATGAGAAAATAATCATCTTTTATTTACTTTCGGCCAAAAAACTAATTTTAACTTGATTTAGATAAACTAGTCATTTAATTAAGTTGTTTAGCAAAAAGTTTAAATATAAATCTATGTTAACTAAAATTTGATTCAAAAGTTAACACAATCATCAAATTTTGATTTCAAAGCATTAACTTTCCAGAATATATAGGGCATAACTTTAGTAATAGGATGTGGTTATAGGCGTTTACGGATGTAGTTGTAGGTGTTTACGGATGCAGATGGTTGTGGTTATTAAGAAATTTTGACCACTAATATAACTGTTGCGTTAAGATATGTATGAATAATTAACTACTAAATATAGTAATGTTAAATAATAAAATAACAATATTAAAAATTATATGATTATAAAAAATATTAAATTATATTTACAAAAAATATTATAATAAATATGAAGTTATGTTTATAAAATTATAGTTTAACTTTTTTAAATTATAGAAAATAAGTTTTATAATATAAAACCCCCATAGTAATCTCTAATTTATATTTCCTCCATTTTTGATTAATTATCGTTTTAGCATAATATTTTGGTTGAAAAATATATATCGTTTTATGTTTCCAATATAATATTTACTACTGTTTTATCTCTTTTTCCTATAATTTAACTAAAATAAATATTAAATGTTATGTAATTCTAATGGTCAAACAAAGGTAAATTTAAATATTTAAATAATTTTTTAATATGTGTGCAAAACTCTAGAATGATAAACAATTTGAAACGGAGGGAGTATTGATTTTTTCTTTTTAGTCACTAATTCATATTGACTTGGTCAAATCTTACTGGAGTAACATCCATTAGAGCATCTCCAACCCCACTCCAAAACCCACTCCAAACTCCATTTTGCAGTAAAATCTTCTCCAACCCTACTCCAAAACTCACTCTAAAATGGAGTAACAAACATGATTACTCCAAATATGGAGTAAACCAACTCATTACTCCAAAATGGAGTTGAACTTTTTTATTTATCAAATAGTCCTCCACATTTATATATGTTTCATTTTTAATAAAATATTATTATAAATAAGTACTATATATATTATAAATTTTACTGTTATATTTCTTAATTATATGAATAGCCTCATTTTTAATAAAATATTATTATAGATAAGTATATTAATATTATTTTACTATATATTAGAACATTTACTGTTAATATTTCTTAATTATATAAATAGCCTCGTCTTTAATAAAAATATTATTATAAATAAGTATATTAATATTATTTTACTATATATATTTTAAAATTTACTGTTAATATTTTTTAATTATATAAATAACCATCTGATGAACTCTTTTATACAACATAATATATATAATATAAACATAAAAGATCATACATATAGAAAATGAAAGATAAGCACCATACAAAAGAAATAACATA